CTTGGATGTCTACAGGAATTACCAAGACCACATATGCATGGCTTGGATGTCTACAGGAACCATCAAGACCATATTTGCATGGCTTGGATGTCTACAGGAACCGTTGAGGCCACATATGCATGACTTGAATGTCTACAGGAGCCATCAAGAGCACATATGCATGGCTTGGATGTCTACAGGAACCATCGAGACCATATATGCATGGTTTGGATGTCTACAGGAACAATTGAGGCCACATATGCATGGCTTGGATGTCTACAGGAACCACCGAGACCACATATACATGGCCTGGATGTCTACAGGAACCATCGAGACCACATATGCATGGCTTGGAGGTCTACAGGAACCACCGAGACCACATATGCATGGCTTAGAAACTCTACAGGAACCACCAAGACCATATATATACATATGGCTTGGACATCTACAGGAACCACCAAGACCATATATGCATGGCTTGGATGTCTACAGGAACCACCAAGACCACATATGCATACAGGAACCACCAAGACCACATATGCATGGCTTGGATGTCTACAGGAACCACCGAGACCACATATGCATGGCCTGGATGTCTACAGGAACCACTGAGACCACATATGCATGGCCTGGATGTCTACAGGAACCATCGAGACCACATATGCATGGCTTGGATGTCTACAGGAACTATGGAGACCACATATGCATGGCTTGGATGTCTACAGGAACCACTGAGACCACATATGAATGGCTTAGAAACTCTACAGGTACCACCGAGACCATATATATACATGGCTTGGACATCTACAGGAACCACCGAGACCATATATGCATGGCTTGGATTTCTACAGGAACCACCGAGACCACATATGCATGGCCTGGATGTCTACAGGAACCATCAAGACCACATATGCATGGCTTGGGTGTCTATAGAAACCACCGAGACCACATATGCATGGCTTGGATGTCTACAGGAACCACCGAGACCACATATGCATGGCCTGGATGTCTACAGGAACCATCGAGACCACATATGCATGGCTTGAATGTCTACAGGAACCACTGAGATCACATATGCATGGCTTAGAAACTCTACAGGAACCCCCGAGACCATATATGCAGGGCTTGGATTTCTACAGGAACAACTGAGACCACATTTGCATGGCTTGGATGTCTACAGGAACCATCGAGACCACATATGCAAACAGGAACCACCGAGACCACATATACATGGCTTGGATATCTACAGGAACTATCAAGACCTCATATGCATGGCTTGGATGTCTACAGGAACCACCAAGACCATATATATATACACGGCTTGGACATCTACAGGAACCACTGAGACCATATATGCATGGCTTGGATTTCTAAAGGAACCACTGAGACCACATTTGCATGGCTTGGATGTCTACAGGAACCACTGAAACCATATACACATGGCTTGGATGTCTTCAGAAACCACCAAAAACACATATGCATTACCTTGATGCCTTCTGGAACCACCAATACCATATATACATGGCTTGGACGTTTACAGGAACCACCTAGACCACATATGCATGTTACCCATATTGCTAGGAGCCCATTAGAACAGTGAGCAAGGCACAGTGGCTAAATGGTTATCACGTCCGCCTGGAAACACTAGGGTTGTTGGTTCAAATCCTACCCACGGCACCACCTGCCTAGAGATTGCAAGTTCTCCCTGTGCCTGCTGGCACTCTGGGTACTCCCACACTCCAAAGACATGCATGTTAGGTAAATTGGCCCATGTAAGTTTGGAACCCTAGATTGCATGCCCCTTGAGGGATAGGGACTGATGTGAATGTATTATATATATGTGCTGTGTAAATTGACAGCGCTACAGAAGTACCTGAAATAGATAATATAATAGTCCACTCACTCTAATACATGTTACAATGATAGAGGCTTCTTCATGAGGTAGATTCAAGTCCACCCATCATAGAAGGGTATTGAGAGCTCCACCACAGGATCAAATGGGGGGGGAGACTGATTTCTGATCATCCCATCCCAACTTCCTTGGAGACTGTGTGTATATATATATATATATACAGTATGTAGCACTCTCTGTCCCATTAAGCTGCCCAAGAGAGCAGTCTCCTCCAGCTACACCATATTGATTCCCTGCCTGGCCTTGACTGACTATGCATGGAGTAGGGGAGCATAAGAGGGTCTTCACTGATTACTGCAGCCTGGGTTATGCTTGTCCAGGGCTGTGTTTCAGCAGGAACATGGGGGAACGCGGTTTTGGCACCTCCAGTACTGAGTGTAATGCCTAGGGGTGTTGGGGTGTGCTGGAGGGTCTATTTGTACTGGCTGCTGGGGGATCTATTGTTGCTAGGGGGATTTATTGCTGCTGGTGGGGGGAATCTATTGTTGCTGGGGATGAATTGTTATGCTGCTGTGGGTCAGTTGTTCATGGGAGAGATCTACTGTTGACAGAGGGTTCTATTGTTGCTGGGTGGTATATTGTCATGGAGGTTCTATTGTTAATTGGGGATCTATTGCTGCTGGGCGTCTATTGTTGCTGGGCTGGATCTAGTGCATCTGGGGGTCTTTAATTGCTGGGAAGATCTATTATTGCTGGGGGTTCTGCTGTTGCTGGGCTGGATCTATTCCTGCTGGGGTGTCTATTGTTGCTGGCCACAGGGGACCTATTTAACTGCCTTTCATTAGCAAATTCCACACCAGGGGCGGACTGACCATTTGGAAACTCGGCACTGCCCGAGGGCCCGGGGTCAGTAGGGGGCCCTATGAGATGCCCCTGGTACAGGGGCGGACTGACAAATCATGGGGCCCCTGGGCAATAGGGGATCATGGGGCCCCTGTGTCCTTGCCCAAACTCAAAAAAGCCTATGAAAAAGGTACCAGGGGCATCTCATGGGTCCCCTACTGACCCCGAGCCCTCGGGCGGTGCCCGAGTTTCCAAATGGTCAGTCCGCCCCTGCCCTGATACCTTTTTCATAGGCTTTTTTGAGTTTGGGCCAGGACACAGAGGCCCCATGATCCCCTATTGCCCGGGGGCCCCATGAGTTGTCAGTCCGCCACTGTTCCACACAAATTACTTAGCATCCATAAAATGAAACTTGGTTCTGTATTCTCTAAAAGGGGATGTACTGGAAGGCAGGTAGAGGGTGGAACCAAGGGAATTTGCTCGTATTTGGGTAGGGGGCAGAGACCAGGGGTGACAAAAAAAGCCCTGTGCTTGCCCATAGCAATGGTGCAAGGACAGAACTGGATTAGCTGCTGCTTGGCCAGTAAAGGGAGACCTGCCCACCTCTCTGGGAAGATACAGAGAGAGTGGCTGGGACCCACATGCCCACATGGAGGGTGGGAGAACCCAGGGAAGAAGTCAGTAGTGTCCCCTTGTTCTGGTAGGGCTTGGAACCTAAGGATAGGGCTGAGAGCCCAGGTAGTGTGCTAAGAGCAGAGAGGAAGGAGGCCGTGTGTGCTGTTGGAGAGCTGCTAGAACCTGGTGAGTCTCCTGCAAGCCTGACAAGCAGCTACTGTCTAGGAATGAGGACCAAGATGTATAGGCTGGAGAGGTAGGCCCAAAGCCTAGTGAGCTACCTTTTCACTGATTCCAATCAAGACACAGCCAGCTTTATTCACTATCCATCCTAAACGTGGGATCTTACATCACCAGAAGGGACTGTGTCTAGGGGGACTTCACCAGAGTATCAGAGTGGTGAGAGGTCTGTTGCCCACCTTGATGTGGTTTTGAACTATTGTTGCTAAATTTGTATCTTAATCTGCCTGTGGATTACAAATCTCTCAGTAAAGTTAAGGGCCACGATGCCAGAAGGATATGTTTAGTTCTTCACTGGCCAGTGGCTAGTCAGGGACTAGGACTCATAGATAGTTTGCTTTGTAGGCAGGTCATAGAGTGGGTTCCCCTTCAAGTCGCCTTCTCCCCCTTGAGAGAAGGCTGGGAGATATGTAGGTCCTTGCAGGGAGGTGGGTCAGTCTGGGGAAGGAAGACCAAGAGGCAACATCATCTGTTGTTCTCCTATTCTTCTCCCCCTCCCTGGGGGAGGACATGGTGCCATGGAGTCCCCCATCCAAAACCCAGGAAAGAGTAGAGAGAACCTTGAAGCTGGTTTGTCCCTGCCATCCTCGGCCAGGAAGAACATTAGGCCCATCTAACTGCAGGGATGAGAGCAGCCACCAGCAGGGCCTAGGACCAAAAGTTAATTTTGTTAATGGACAGTGTTCTTCTATTGGAGCCATGTATTGAGTGAGACTTTCAGTAAAAGAACATTAACCACATCCAGCCTCGTGGTGCCTTTGTTCAGTAAGAATGCTGCTCTGAGGAGTGTGAGCCTGAGTTCTACTGGTGTCCCCTGGCTGTCAGGCCTGGAGAAGGTGCCCAATGTCTGGAGCCCCTAGGAGTGAAGGGGATGATGCACATAGTCAGGAGGGTGGATCGAGGGTTGGACTTTGTCATGGGGCAAAGTCCTGTATTGCCAAGAAGGTCAGTTCTACGTTTGGGGTTGGCTCGGCAGCTCGCTTAGACCATGCACGAGGCAGCCTGCCACCCACCTACAGCTTAATCCATGAGTCTTTTGCTGACTGTGGTTTTTGTCTGACATTGCTTTTTATTGCCTAACCCAGCCTTGAGATGCCTACCAACCAGGGTGCCTTGAGATTTCTTCAAGGGTGCCTTGGCAAAATATCTAAAAATTGCCCAAAATTTGTGTACAAGCCAGCGAGTAAAACAATCCTGCCTTTTAGTTACACAAAGCCATAGGTTTCATTGTGCGCCATTACGACCTTCTAGCCAACCAATGACAACCAATGACATCTTCAGGTGATGAGGATGTCAGCTGCCTGCACAGCATCCTAGTTTACCCTACCCTGCCCCTGTTCATCAGTGCTGGGGTAACATTAGCTGAGTGATGGAGAAAAACTGAGGGAGAGGAGAAACATAAGAATACTAGTCAGTACCAGTGTGTGAAAGTGTATTTGCTTTGGAAGGATAAATCCCCTCTAATGTTGGGTGTCCTACATGTGTGGATGTTGCTGAGTTATATAAAACTATCAGAATAGTTTTTCCAATTTTAGAATGGGGTGCCTCAAGACTGTCCATAATTTGAAAAGGTGCCTCAGGACTGTCCATAATTTTAAAGGGTGCCTCAAGACTGTCCATAATTTGAAAGGGTGCCTCGGGAATGTCCATAATTATAAAGGGTGCCTCAAGACTGTCCATAATTTGAAAGGGTGCCTCGGGAATGTCCATAATTATAAAGGGTGCCTCAAGACTGTCCATAATTTAAAAGGGTGCCTCAAGACTGTCCATAATTTGAAAGGGTGCCTCGGGAATGTCCATAATTTGAAAGGGTGCCTCGGGAATGTCCATAATTATAAAGGGTGCCTCGGGACTGTCCATACTTTGAAAGGGTGCCTCGGGAATGTCCATAATTTGAAAGGGTACCTCGGGAATGTCCATAATTATAAAGGGTGCCTCGGGACTGTCCATAATTTGAAAGGGTGCCTCGGGAATGTCCATAATTTGAAAGGTGCCTCAGGACTGTCCATAATTTGCAAGGGTGCCTCAGGACTGTCCATAATTTGAAAAAGTGCCTCAGGACTGTCCATAATTTGAAAGGGTGCCTCAAGACTGTCCATAATTTGAAAAGGTGCCTCAGGACTGTCCATAATTTGAAAGGGTGCCTCAAGACTGTCCATAATTTGAAAGGGTGCCTCAGGAATGTCCATAATTATAAAGGGTGCCTCGGGACTGTCCATAATTTGAAAGGGTGCCTCAGGACTGTCCATAATTTGAATGGGTGCCTCAGGAATGTCCATAATTTGAAAGGGTGCCTCAGGAATGTCCATAATTTGAAAGGGTGGCTCAGGAATGTCCATAATTTGAAAGGGTGCCTCAGGAATGTCCATTGTTTGAAAGGGTGCCTCAGGAATGTCCATAATTATAAAGGGTGCCTCGGGACTGTCCATAATTTAAAAGGGTGCCACGGGAATGTCCATAATTATAAAGGGTGCCTCAGGACTGTCCATAATTTGAAAGGGTGCCTCGGGAATGTCCATAATTTGAAAGGGTGCCTCAGGACTGTCCATAATTTGAAAGGGTGCCTCAGGACTGTCCATAATTTGAAAAGGTGCCTCAGGACTGTCCATAATTTGAAAGGGTGCCTGAGGACTGTCCATAATTTGAAAGGGTGCCTCAGGAATGTCCATAATTATAAAGGGTGCCTCGGGACTGTCCATAATTTGAAAGGGTGCCTTGACTGAAAAAAAGGTGAAAAACACTGGCCTAACCCATCCTCCCTTTCAGGGCTTTTTCCTGTTCATAAAGTCCATTCCATCGATACAAGGTGGGTGATCATTGAACCAAGAAAGGGAACCCAAACAATCTTGTTGCTCCTCCGGGGGGGTAGAACTTATATGTACATTCAGCTATTCCTCACCAGATCAATTGGCGGAAATTAGCTCCATCCTTTCCTCCTTCCCACCATTCTCCGTCTGAGGAGAACTTCTCAATAAGCCAGAACACCGACAAGTCAATATGTTGGGATTTACGTGACCTGTATTGGCCTCCAAGTGAAGATGCGTGTCCGGAATTCATCCTAAATACCCAGTAAATGCCGGGATTGGACATCTGATAGAAAATCTGTAGACGTGATTTATTTATACCTTTTATGTGTCCAGATGATGTGAATACAGATTTCACGTGCGTTGCTAATGGCGGGGTGAAGTTACTTTCCAGTAAAGTCTTTTTCCCCGGGTCATGATCTCGGCCAAATCTCTGGAGACCCTCAGGTAATCCATAATGTACTTTCTATAAATTGTCTCCAGACTGACAGAGACACAACAGAAGAGGCGGCTTAACAGCTGGAAAGTCCAATACTCGGATAATTGGAAAATCCTTCATTAATGGGGTGGAAATGTTACGTGAAAGGAATCTTTCCGCAAAGAAAAGGCCAAGCGGCAGGTCACTTGTGAATAGAGACTGTCCGCTGAGTCTGTCTTTGCTCAGGTTGGTGTTACCATGAAATATTAAATTCATTCTCTATGAGGTCATGATGAATAATCCTCCGCAGTGTCCAGAGCTCCCAAATCCATATAGATTTCCAGTATAGAAATGAAAAAATAAGGAGAAAAAAAAAGCAGATTTCACACTGCTGATCATGCAACAGCATAGATGTAATCATGTCATTTTATACTTTTTTCATTTTACATTCAATTTCTATATTTTACTCTGCAATACGACTTTGCCCCAGGGGTGACAGATTAGTTACCTTTAAAAAAAAGTATAAATAGTAAATGTATATAAGAATGAATGGCCCCACCAGAGATAACCCAAAAGGAAGACCTCAAAAATCAGCATAAAACATATAACCACAAATAAAATAAATACAAAAATATTCATTAATAAATGAATTTAAGACTACACAAATTAAGAACAAACAAACAAACAAAAAAGAAAAAACAATATTTCTCTCCTCACAGCAATAATCCTTTAATAAAGACAACTTTAAATATCCTAAATAAAAAAATTTGATCTATCAAAGCCCTCCGACGCCCTTGAAACCTAATCCAGTTTACCTACTGTATTCGGACTCACCTACGAGGCCATAAACTTTATCTCCAGCGATGTATACAGCAATACCATGTGGTGTTGAATTTATCCCTTGCATCAGGTCAGATAGTTTTAACTCAATGAATAAACTCACATGTTGAGGAAACCCATTCGAATGTTCCGTTTAATGGAGAGTAATCATAGGTAGAAAAATGTTAAGGTTGTAGCCTCATGGAAAGGTGCATTCAGGAAGACAGGACAGAGTGGAATGATTACCAGAGAGAGGAAGGGGGAAGGGATATACACAAGTATGGTGAGAGAGCTCAGCTCAGCAGAAGGAGACAGCTTAAAGACACAGAGCAATAATAAATAAGTGATGGTCACAGAGAAATAATAATAAATCAGATAGTGTAACACAACATACTGGGTATTTCCACCTTAACATCTGGTGGAATAATCCATCCAGGCAGTGCAGGAACAAGGTCATCCAGCGCCCAGGGCAAAAATGCCAGGCAGCCCCCTCCCCAAAAATATATGAGCATTGTGTGTCAAAAAAAACAAAAATCAAGCACTATACTTCAAATTCACCCCCTAAGCAAAAATGTTCTTTGCAAGTCAAAATTCTCCATAAACAAAAATATTTACCCTCTTCCAGTCCAAAATCACCCCCCCAGCTCAAATCTGGTCCTAAATCTCCCTGTCAGGGCTCTGTCCACAGCAGAGGTACTCAGAGACCTGGCATTCCTGCCGATACCTTGCATGGCCGCAGAAATGCCCGCTGGGGAAAATTTATGCGCATTGGCGTACGGATGTGAATCGGAACACGCATGCGCACTGACCCATAGTTACGCATGGCCTTTATAAGGAAGCCCATCACTCCCTCAAATTGCTGGTTGATCTCTGGCTCCCCAGTACCTTTCTCCGTGTTCCCATGCTGCTGTGATCTCCTGTTACTGATTTAGTTTTTTCCTGGACCTGTCTTCGCTGCCTGACTCCTGATCTGACCTCAGCTTGGCTAATAGATATTCTCACCTGCTCTCCTGATCTGACCCCAACTTGGCTAATAGATATTCTCACCTGCTCTCCTGATCTGACCTCGGCTTGGCTAATAGATGTTCTCACCTGCTCTCCTGATCTGACCCGGCTTGTCTAATAGATATTCTCACTTGCTCTCCTATGTATGACCCCAGCTGTCCTATTGACTACGTCTGCTCTGATCTCCACCCGGCATCTGACCTTGGCTTTGAGCCAACTACTCTGTGGCCCTCTGCTACCCTGAAGGCCTACATACCTCTCAAAGGTGCCACCTGTCTGCAGACACCATTCCAGTGCATCAGCTGTGCTCCTGGGTATACCTCTGACAAGCACTCCTACAGGCTACCCGTGCTACTTTGGGCCTGACTCCTTCTGACCTATATCAAGGGGAGTCTGGAACTTAGTTGCAAGGGAAGCCCTCTCTCCATTGGCCTCGAGCATCAGGTATGTGATTCTCCCCTCCTGGCACAAATCTTTACATAGAAACATAAAAGAGTGATGGCAGTAAAAAGACCAAGTTGTCCAATAACCAATATAAATAAATACATTTTTTTTTTTTTAATGGAGTGTGATGGAGCCTGCTCAGCAGCAGGAGTGTTCGGGTGGAAGATGGAGTGAGAGGCTGGGATGCAGGAGCCTGGGAGGAGGCCCAGTGCTAAGAGGCCTAAATCCAGGCTGAAGTTGAAAGGAGGATCTCTCGACGTCAACAGTCCCCTGAGAGAAGATCACCTGTGCAGCAGGGAAGGAGCCAGCCCAGCAGAAGGCCTGAAGGCAGCTACCAACCCAACAAGCTCACAGGAGAAGAAGAGTGAGTGCTCTTACACCTCCTGGGCCGGAAAAGGGGAAAGGGCATTCAGGTGGGAAACCTGACTAGCCCCTATCTGGGACTGTTTGATTTAAAGAGACAGATTCTGAGTCCCCTTTACCCAGGGATTCCCTCAGGCAGCTGGATGAGACAAGGATTCATCTGGGGTCTGGGGTGATACACCAGGAAAGGCTGGATAGATCTCCAAGAACAACTCTTTGCTGTATAGAGACTTACTAAGAAGTCCTCAGTTTCAGTTTCCTTGGGCATCCCATACATCCCTTGACCTCATCCGAGTTCAATACCCCTAATAAAAAACCTAAACACCTTTCTCTAGAATGTCGCTACATTTCCTCAAGCTTAACCTCTCCAAAACCAAACTTCTCGTCTTTCCCCCAGCCTACACCCCCCCCCCATCCTATCCATCACTACCAACAACACCACTATCATTCCCGCCCCGCAAGCCAAAGTCCTTGGCGTCATTCTTGACTCGAACCTCTCCTTCCAACCTCATGTCAAATCACTTACAAACACATGCAGGCTCCACCTTCGCAACATCGCCAAGATACGTACGTTCCTTACCCCAGACACCACTAAACTACTCGTACACTCCCTGATTATCTCACGCCTCGACTCGACTACTGCAACTCCCTCCTCACCGGCCTACTCCAGTGCAAGCTCTCCCCGCTCCAGACCATCCTGAACTCAGCGGCTAGACTCATCCACCTCACCAACCGCTCCACCTCTGCCACCCCCCTCTGCCAATCCCTCCACTGGCTCCCTATCGCCCAACGCATCAAATTTAAACATCTAACCCTGACCTACAAAGCCATTCACAACACTGCCCCTGACTACCTCACCAACCTGATTCCCAAGTACCGCCCTACCCGTACCCTTCGCTCCTCACAGGACCTCCTTCTATCCTGCTCCCTGGTCTCCTCCTCCCACGCACGACTGCAAGACTTCTCCAGGTCCTCCCCCATCCTCTGGAACTCACTGCCACAATCCATCAGACTGTCGCCTTCCCTCCTCACATTCAGGCGCTCATTCAAAACCCATCTCTTCAGGGAAGCCTACCCCACCCTCACCTAACGGCCGTTCTCCCTCATTCCTCCCACCACTTCATTCCCCTCAGCCACTTCCTACTGTACCAGTACCCCCTCCCTCCTAGATTGTAAGCTCGAAAGAGTAGGGCCCTCTTACCCCTCGTTCGTTGTCTGTTATTTTTGTACTGTGCCATGTATTGTCCCCCCCTCTATTGTACAGCGCTGAGCAAACCCTTTGGCGCTATATAAACTCGATGTAATAATAATAATAATAATAATAATAATAGAATGCAAGTCTGAGAAAAATGCGTGTCGCCTGGCTGGGCAGGACTATAGGGGGACCCAAAACTCAACGGCTCCTAAGGGGGTAGTGCTACATACAGCT